GTACAAATGTGCTTTACACAATTGATGTATGTATGGATTGTGAGAAGAGTTGTATGAGCCCCTAATAAAATGATTTTAAAAAATAGCAGCTGAGGTCTTAAAGGCTTTAAGTTAAACAAGCGGCCACCTAGCAGAGAAGCAACAAGCTCACAAGGACGCACCCCAGCCTGTGCAGTCATGAGGTGTTGGCAGGATCAGTTAACAGTCATCAGAAGACCCCAAACAAAAAACATTATTGTTGAGAATGAGGGGGGTTGGAGCAGAGACCCAAAACCCATCTGTAGACAATGCAACATCCCCCTACAAAAGGGTCACAAGGTAAGGATGAGTCAACCAGGGTGACAGCACTGATGAAACACACATATATTCCTCTGGTTCCTTGAGGCTTCCTCACCCTCCACTATCATGATCCCAATCCTGTCTTTCATTGTGGGATAGACTGGAGTGGAGCATGTACACAGGTACAGGTAAGAGCTCAGGACACATGGAATCCCGGTCAGAAAAAAAACTCCAGAAAAGAAATGGGAGTAGATACCAGGAGGCTAAGGGTAAGGTGGGGAGAGGAGGAAGAAGCGGCAGGGGAAAGAAGACAGCGGTTGGTGTGATATGAAAATAGTAATAATTTATATTTTATCAAGGGGTCACGAAGGTGGGAGGAGGGAGGGAGGGTAAAAAGAGGAGCTGACACCATTGACTCAAAGAGAATGTAAATCTTTAGGAAATAATGATGGCAACATATGTACAAATATGCTGGATACAATTGATGTATGGATTGTTGTAAGAGCTGTAAGAGTCCTCAATAAAACGATCTTTAAAAATAAACAAAAATAAAAGTTGAAGACAACAAAAAATAAATCACAGCCTTGGAAACTCTATGGAACAGTTCTGCGCTGTTCTATAGGTTATCATGAATTGCAACTGACTCAATGGCAATGGGTTTGGTTTTTTATACCTACACAGCAGCACCACAGAAGCCCTAATACGCTTCTTTAACAATTACAGAAAAAAAAATCCTATGGTGCAGTTTTACTTTAACATATGAGGTCACCGTATGTTGGAAACTACTTGACAGTAACAGGCTTGGTTTTATCTTGTAACACACTGAAATAATTTCATTTTAATTTCCTTGTTACTATCAATACTACTGTTATCCTCACTTTTCTTTCTTGTTGACTTTAATCTCTCTCCTTCATTAATCTTTTAACTCCCAACATATCTTTTCGAAATAATTGCTATTAGTTGTCAATTTCAACTAATGTATGCAGAGAAAAACTGCTCCAGAGGGCCACGAATGAATGACCTTTTGGAACTAGATCACCAGGCCAGGCTTCCAAGATACCTGAGCATTTTCTCACCCAATCTTAAGCTATTATTTGTCTAGCACTTAACCATTTTGTGTCACCCAGCGACTTCCATTGCCATCAAGTCAATTCCAACTCTTAAGTGACCTTTATTTAGGGTTTCTAAGGCTATAAATTTTTGCAGAGCGATAGCCTCATCTTTATCCCATGGAGCAGCTGGTGGGTTTAAACCTCAAACCTTGTGGTTAGCTCCCCATTGCCTAGTCCACAATGCTACTCAGAGATTATTATCAATAGCAGTAATTATATCGACTTCTATTTATTATGCTTCCACTATATGCCAAGCATTTGTAGTTATTTTATCTACCCAATAACATGAATTATTCTGAGAAACAGAACTTAAGTCACTTATTCAGGGTGATATACCTTTAAGTTACAAAATCTGAATTCAAACCTAGGTTGATGACAGTTTGTGCTCTTTTCAACATATCTCATTTTCCAAGTCCCACTGATTTTTCTCAGTAAATCCCGAGTTCCACTTGTCCTACCATTTTCCACATCTGTCATCTAAATCCAGACCTCAGTAACTTTACAAGTATGTTAGAAAAGTCTCCAAGTTAGTCTGACACTTTTCCCCCTTCTACTCAAAACCCTAAAACAAGTACCACTTTTCCTTTTTTAAAGTTATTTTATTGGGGGCTCTTATAACAATCCATACATTCATTGTGTCAAGCACACTTGTACACATGTTGTCATCATCCTTTCAAAAGGAAACTAGTATCTACACAACCCTGGCACTGTAGAGTTGATTTCACATCACTTAACAAAACTCAAATTCTCACAAAAGCTTAATTAATGAAATAGGTGTTACCACTTTGACTATAAACAAAAACACTAAGGAATTATTACAAATGAAAAATTCAAACTTCAGATTTAACTACAGTTAGGATTTTAATCTGGGACATTCTGAACTTAAGACAGTTTTAAAAGAACATTTTCTTTTCATTATACCACTCTGCCTCTTACTTAACAATCTATACTGATTTATAATTCTTCCTAGCATTCAACTCCCAAGGCGCTGTAAAATTGTTCCCAGTATCGTAAGTATCATTAGTAATTGTTAAATATTCTTCCCATTACTTTCAAGCAAACACTTGCTTGTTACTCCTTTCAAGCAAACCTGTTAGTCAACCCTACCACATATTTTTATTTCTAAACCTTTGAAAATACAGGTTCCAAACCAAAATGCTCTGCTGCTTGCTTTGTTACTTACCTCTCTGGAAAATTTATTCATATTTTATCTCCATGATGCGTTCCCTAATGACATGTACCCACTTCTAAAGAACCACCCTTATAAATCAAAGGGGAAACTAAGGACATAGTTAAAGTACTCCTATAGGACAAGAGAATCTGGAACTGAGCATTCCATAATAGAGACTATCAAGTGTAGCATTCCTTTTCCACAAAGTCAGCTCATTAAAGTCCAAACAAAAGTCCCCTAACCCATTCCTGAAAATTATACCTTCCACTGCAAATTAGCATTGCTTCCTTATGGAGACTGATTATGGAAACAATTGTACAATTATGTTTGAAATGACAGAACTATGGAATGATATATGCATTAACTCCCAAGTTGCAGCAAATTAAAAAAAAGGCATACATCCAGGAATGGTTTTGGGGCTCACACTAAATCCTAGCTCCAACTTAACAATCAGTTCTTACATCATGGCCCTGCTAAATACTCACCTTCATGAAATCACCACGAAAGATAAGGGTGCTATAACAAAGTGTGAAGAAAGCAGATAGTGCCCAGCAATCAATCAGAACAGTGTCTGGGGTCTTAAAAGCTGTATTCAAACAAGCAGCCATCTAAGTAAGGAGTCAAGCAAGTCCACATGAAGGAAGCACATCAGCTTGTGTGATCCAAAGATGGCAACGACAAAATTCAAATATAGTGAGGAGAAAAGCATCAGAGCTAAAATTATGAACACCTAATTTGTGGAGGACCATGGGGGAATGGTAGGAGGCCCAAACCCATCTGCAGAGTATCTAGTCAGACTGAGCCACTGGTAGATCCATTCTAGCCACAGGCAAGAGTCTCAATCAGCCTAACTATCAGGCTGAGAGCATTGTAATCTTGATTATGGTGGATCTAACTAGATACTCGGCCAGTTGACCACCCTGTAGACACAACCTGAATTTGTTCTGGGTACAATATCTCTTACTAGTTCCATGACAGAAATTTCTTCTCCAACTTTTTGAATGTTGGTGGGGTCTTTTCCTTGTATCATTATTTGTACTTTTGTTTTTATACTATTATGTTTTTATCCTTATCACCTTAGTGTGATTTTGTTTTTTGTTTTCTGTTGGGTCTCCCAATTGTGAAGCACAGGAGGAGTGGATCCATAATATTAACTGATACAAGGGGATATAGGGAATATAGGGATGGGAATGGATGATAGGGAGGGTAGGGGATTTCTGGAGTAAATAATGAAGCCGGGAGGGAGCACTAGAACAGATTCTGATTACATAACTCATTTTAAAGGCGATTTCACCATGGAGGGGAGGGTATGTTCTCTAAAATTGATGTAGTGAACAAAAAAAATTAAAAATTGATGCACTGGTGATTGTACAATTCTCCTTGATATGATTAAACAATCAAGCTATTGAATTATGTGATACACAAATTACGTGCCAACAAAACTGTTCGGAGGAAAAAAACACAAGTAAAAAAAAATTGCTTCCTTAGCCTTAGTCAAACAAAGTATTAACACTCAAAAATATTACGTAGCTCTGTCGATGCAAACAAGGGGGGTTGGAATGGAGACCAAAAGCCCATCTATAGACAACTGGACATAACCCCACAGAAGGGATACAAGGGATGACCCAATCTCAGGGTGCAGTATAACACTGACAAACACAAATCATTCCTCTACAGACATCATTCCTCTAGTTCCTGAATGCTTCCTCACCCCCACTACCATGACCCAGTTCTACCTTACAAATCTGACTAGACCAGAGTACACACATTGGTATAGATAAGAGATCTAGACACCTGGAATTCAGGACAGATAAACCCCTCAAGAACAGTAGTGGGAGTATCGATATCATGAGGGTAGGGGGTTGCTGGGAGGGGGAAACTCATCACAAGGTTCGATATATATCCCCCCCCGCCCCCTGGTCCAAGGGGGACAAATAACAAATGTAGATGAAGAGAGACAATTTAAGATACAAATTAACAATAATAATAATATATAATTGATCAAGGATTCACAGGGGTGGGGTGGGGAAGAGGAGCCAATACCAACAGCTCAAGTAGAAAAAAAATGTTTTGGAAATGTTGATGACAACATATGTACAAGTGTGCGTAATACAATCGAATGATAGATTGTTATAAAGACTTGTAAGAGTCCCTCAATAAAATGGTTAATAATAATTTAAAAATTAGCTCTATTTGACATATTCTGGCTACTTAATACTAAATATATTCTACACAGAAACATGAGTTTGTAAATTGATTTATGTCTTATTATGAACAATTATTTTGTATTTGCATATTCCATTTTCCCCCTAAAATAAGCAATCTTCTATTTTTCTTGGGTTACTTCTTGTGAAATGAGGTGCAGTTAAAAGCAGTCAAATCCATTAACTAATCTTCAAGAGACTAAGTTCAAGTATTTATCATGGTTTTATCTATATTTTTCAGCACTCAGAAATCAAATTCAAAGAAAAGGTGGGCAATGAATACGCAACTTTTAACAAAATTTCATGTCGCCAGAGGGAGTGTAAGGTATACTAAATTATGACTAGTAGCTCTCGATTCCAAGACTACCAAATCCTGAGCTCAAGATCAGATTATGAACTGTTTTCTTTGTTCCATACTCTCTACTACAGTATATATAACACAATTAATATATAATGAGCTAGAGTTCTATCAGGATTTCCTTATGTATAAAGAGGTTAAGAACTGCTAAGATACATCCTTTCCAGGTCTGACATTCTTGATTCCATAATGCATCACCCACCTTATATAAGGGAGAACTATTTAAGTTGAAAGAAAGCATTACGTGTGTTTATCACTATGAATCAGAAATGACTCAAGGACAGTGTTTTTGTTTTCTGGTATCAGCATATAGGTAGGTGAATATCAAAATTTGAGCCAATAAATACATGGATTCATTTATATTTGGACTATAAATTCCTTGAGGACAAAGACTGCATCTAAAACAATGCCATGCATGAACCCTCAGAAACTAAAACAAACTTACATGCATCAAGCTGATTCTGCCTCATAGCGACCCTAATAGGGCAGAGTAGAGCTGCCTCAGTGGGTTTCCAATACTGTAACTCCTTACCACAGTAAAAAGTTTCATCTTTTTTCAGCAGGGAACACTGGTGCTTTTGAACTGCTGACCCTGCACTTGGCTTAGCAGCCCAACATATAACCCACTATGCCACCAGAGCTCCTGCCACAAACCCTATACTCAAATACCAGGTGACAAGGAAGAAAGTAGTATCATCCTTTTTTTTGCATTCCCCAATAATTAAGTCTTAACAGTATGAAAAAATAAAATAAAAAGCTTGAGTATAGTAAGATTGCCTCAGAACACAAAAGACAGGAGCCACTTGGAACTATGGGACAGAGATAAAGCAAACACATAGAAAACAGGAACAATGAATAAAAACTGGACCACCCAAGCAAGAAAATGCCTTGAATGCTCTCTTGATTATACTGAAGAATCACCTGAGTGGCAAGGTGGCTGCAAGCTCCCCAATGTCTGCTGATACCTTCGGCTTTCATCTTCTGCTACCTCATTGATATCTGAATAGTCCACAGCATCTTCTGTACTTTTAATCCATCCTATTGAATTTTCAAAGGGGAGATCTTCAACATATAGCAAGTTAACTCTCATGCCCTCAGATAAATCCCATTTAAAAATACACATATATCAAGTGGCTAGCCTCCTCCCCCTCCTTACTTCCCATGACCCACACTTCACCTTCGTCATTTACCAGGACACCGTCAATTCCAGTCAATTCTTCATTTGCCGTGAGTTCAGTGATCAGGCTGCCCAGACCCAAAGCCCCCAAGCCTGCCAAGTGCTTCTTACACTCCTGGAAAAAGGGACAGCACCAGAGTGGAGGACAACAACTACACCTGAGCTCCCCACACCGCAAGGCTCATTTCCCTGGTCCATGACAAAGCCAAAAATTAGTATAAAAACTGACTACAGTAGCCTTAAAAAGGGGGGGGGCAGAGATGTTCAAGAACTCTCATGTAAATCTTCTACCAAGCTCCACGTTTACCAGATCTTTACTAAAGTACCTCGTCCAATTTCTGTCACCACACTTTAAAGATAAAACCAAGTTTCTCAAAACCAAGGACAAAACAACCAGCTAGTAGCTCTGAGGCTAAAAGTTAAGTAAAGTGAGATCACTTGGCCAGGTGATGACATTTCTGCTCTCTTTGATGTATGTTGCAGTGGAGGGGCAGATACAGATTTATTCATTGAAAAAATGAACCTGAATAAAAGGAGGTGTTTCACTTGGACACAGGAACCAATTTCAGGAATGTCAAGGTGCAACATTACATTAAAAATCCTGAGGACTGGAAAATACGGTTCCAATAGCCACTGCTCTAACAGTGGGAGCTGGAATCACAGGACTTGTGCCAGGTTCTGTCCAATTTTCGATGTTAAAAATGCAAAGTTCCCAGACTCTCCAAGATATCCAGACACGACTGGAAAGTAATTCCACTACTACACTAGGTTAAAGGATTGCTTTTGCAAGGTCTCTCTCTCCAAAGTAACCCACTCCAGGGCGCCTACCCACAAGGAGGTCTGTGTCTGCCAATCAGGCTCCTCCTCGCTAAGCCCACGCCCACAAGGGAACTCTCCCGTCCCACTCCGCTCCCCAAATAAGCATCAGGGTGGAACGCGGTTCCTCTCTTACGTGCACTGCGCCCTTCCCAAGAAAGCCACAAGTGCTGAACATCCACTACCCAAAACCTACACTACACGCCGCCGCCGCCGCCGCCCCATCCCCATCCCTCTCCCCACGCCCACCCCCTCACATCATCCAAGACGCTTTCCCCCTCCAGCTGCCCGGCTCCATTGATGTTGCCGAAAAGGAAACCGGCTAAAGAAAATGGACCGCCTCCAGCCGAATCTTCATCGCTGTCCGAGTCTGACATGATGGCGGCGGCAGCTCTGGCTGCGACGCGGTGCCGCAGCAAATTCCAGTCTGGTCTCATAGACCGGAAATTTCAAAATCAATCAGCAAGAAAAGACTTCCAGAGTTCCCGGACCCTACCAACCTCTACCGGAAGTGGAATAAAGAAAAGGGAACCGGAAAGCCGGCGGTCCTACGAGAAAGAGACTAGGTGTCCCTACTTTACTAACGGCTTTTCATTTGACCCGGGGCGACCGGAAGGCTGAATAAGTGGAAAGAGGTTGGTCAAAGAAAATATTAAGTCCCACCCTTCCACTTCCGTGCGCACGGCGCCTGCAGTGTTTCCAATCAAAACAGCTGGTCCTCCTCCAATCAGAAGGAGCTGCTGGAGTCCCGGAACCTGTGTCCAGGAGGTTTCAAGTCGCTGTGCCATAATATTCGGAAGTAAGGATTAGGTCTTCCATTTTAGCTCTCTGCTTCCTGCAACTTTATCCAAAAGGTCCAGATGTCCCTTTGTAAGGTAGTTGTTTCAAATTGACATTTCTCCATAGGAATGATTGGGGGTTTTTTTTGGCTTTATTTTCTCAACGTTTTTTTTTTTTTCGGAGAAGTTGAAAGTGGAAAGTCTAACATGAACCTAGACCCAACAATTAACATTTTGCCGGGTGGATTGGGTTGGGTTGGGTTTTCCGTAAACCATGTAGAAGTAAGTTACAAAAACAATTCCTCCCACCTGAAAGTAAACATCTTGCTACTTAAGCACAATTACGTCACCGCAGCTTTTAAGATCGAAGAGCCGTAGTGGTTAAATGTTGGACTGCTAACCGCAAGGTCTGTAGTTTGAAACCACCGGCTTCTATGCAGGAAAAAGATGTTGCTTTCCACCCCTTACACTCGCGGACACCCTCAGGGGGACTTTATGCTGTTGGGTCGCTGTGAATCGGAATCAACTCGATGGAAGATTGTTTTTGTAATAATTTCCCCAATTGTTCTGAATTGGAGCATCTTATACTTTTCAACCCAAGCATCATCTAAGTAAGGATGGTGTTAAAAATTATATTTCCTAGAGACCTCTTTATTACGCCTTTTTTTCTTCTCGTGATGTTATTTTTTTTTTAGGAATTGTTTTAGGTAAAAAAGAGACCTCAATCTCAAATATAATTTAAGGAAAAACTTTAAGTCTTTCTTGTGAGGAAAAAAGACACAGACACAGCATGAAGTCAAAATGGCATCTGTAGGCAACTGGACATCCCCTTAGGGGAAGGGTCGTGGGGAGAAGTCGAGCCAGTCGGTGCAGTGTAGCAACGATGAAACATACAATTTTTCCTCTCGTTCCTAAATGCTTCCTCCCCACCCACTATCATGATTCCACTTCTACCTTACAAATCTGGCTAGACCAGAGGATGTACACTGGTACAGTTAGGAATTGGAAACAGGGAAAACAGGACGGATACTCCCTTCAGGACCAGTAGTGAGAGTGGCAATACTCAGAGGGTGGGGTGGAAAGGGGGAACCGATTACAGGGATCTACATATAATCTCCTCTCTGAGGGATGGACAACAGAAAAGTGGGTGAAGGGAGACGTCGGACAGTGCAAGATATGACTAAATAAATTATCAAGGGTTCATGAGGGAGAGGGCAGTGAGAAGGTTGGGGGAAAATTGAGCTGATGCCAGGGGCTTACATGGAGAGCAAATGTTTTGAGAATGATGAGGGTAATGAATATACAAATGTGCTTTATACAATTTATGTGTGTATGGATTGTGAGAAGAGTTGTATGAGCCCCCAATAAAATGATTTTTAAAAAGAGCACAGGTGATCACACCACCATATCCTCATCCATTTTTCATTAATCAAGTGTTTGAAGGTAATAGAATACATGTTTAATGACTTCCTATATTTTTTCTCCCTTATCAATATTCTGTTATTATTTTACCCTCAATCTATTCTTAACAATAGCTCTAATTTCTGATTTGATCATTGTAACATTAATCTTTTCAAGTGTCAAAACATAAAAGGAAAGAATAAATAAATATATGCTTTTTGTTACAGGAAAAAAACCTGAGGATCATTTTTTCACTTTGGGAATTTGAGTAAATGGACACATCCTCCATCTGCTGTCTTATTATTTAAGACGTATATTAGGCCCATATCATAGGCATAAAAATAATTTTTAAAAATCTACCTCATTTTGGTTTAAAGAAAATGTAGTCTACAGAGTACAGTATACATCACACAGGCCCACTAGAGGTCGCTCTCTCCCCACAAAGAGCCATTTCTGACCAACAAGGCATTCCAGCTAGAGGCCTTCTTTGGCAATAGTTCTCACATTTAAAGGAAGTCCAGACTTTATTTTTTCTCTGACAGATAAATCACCTGCAAGGTATTCACTATCAATTTTTTTCCATCTAGGCATAGGCATATGGATCAAACACTAGGTAGATGGAGATAGGATAAAGTTACACTATCATTCCTTGAGCATAACCTTCCCTGACTTTCCTAGTCTGGATGAAGTCCTTTCTCCTCTGGATTCCTCTAGCAATTACTACCTATACAATTCATCTTCCCAGTCTCCTCTAAGTACCATCCAATGCCCAGCATTTGCTCAAACTCCTGTTTTCAGGACAGCAGTGCAACTTAGGGGATTCTTAAACCACAGCAAAATGATCAGTTATAAGAACTGCTGTGCGCCCCTAGCTCAGTTCTTTAGTTCTATAACTTTGAAAAGGAATTGCACTAATTTCTACTTGTTTACATCTGTTAATACTCCTTGTAATAATGATCTGCAGATAGTGGGCACTCAAAGCACACTGATGATAGGGCCTAAATGATGAAACAGCTAGAACATACCAAATCTGAAACAAAACTTAAACCAATCTCAATTTTCTACATAGACCTCTGCGTGTAGCAAACTGTCTTTGAGAAGGAGGGTTCACAAAAGTTTCAGGTATATTTGTTGGGGTCACTTAAAAAAATTTTTTTGAGGTCACTTTCTACAATTCACCTATTTGGCCAGTGTGTACATCAATCATATTATTTTCTGTACTTGTGTGTATGTGTAAAATGTGAAAGTTTCAAAATAACTAAAAATTATAATAAGGCTTTTTAAAGAGTTTGGGGCTTTGAGAGGTTAAGAGATATAAGGAAAAGCTGTTATTGTAGGCTTTCCAAATCTATATAAGAAAATTTTTATATATCAAAGTTGGAGGATTTAGCATGATGCTGCACTCCTAAGGATTAACCACAGCTTTCAGCTCTTCATCATCACCACTAGCCACACCCATGTCCAATTTGGTGCACTGCACTGCTAAAAGAAGATAAATCAAACTTGTTGACATTGAGTTAAACTACCCCATAGGGTTTTCAAGGTTATAAATCTTTAGGGAAGCAGACTGCAACATCTGTCTCCTGCAGAGAGGATGATGGGTTGGAACCACGGACATTTTGGTTAACAGCTTAAACTTTACCATCATGCCATGAGAGCTCCTCCATTGCACTTCTAGGAGGGCATAAAAAAGAGTTAAAAGGTGTTGCCTGTGTGCTAGAAGCTTATAGTCTTATGGCAAAGGCAGGGCCCATATAAAAAAGAAAAAAATAATATATGGTAATAAATGGCTGTTATATAATACTGTTGTAGCAGAAATATAACAAGTGGCTTTAACAAAACAAATTTATTTTCTCACAACTTAGGAGGCTAGAAGTCCAAATTCAAGGTGCTGGCTCTAGGCGAAGGCTTCCTGTGGGTAGCTCTGGGGGGAAGGTTCATTGGTTATCTTCATGTGGTATGGCATCTATCCCACACAATCTCTGTTTTATAATCTCACAAGAGATTGGCTTAAGGCATAGATAAATAAATAAATACTACACAGCATCAAAAAAATACCCAGCTTTAAAATAATTAAATAATATAAATGGGGGAAAAAAACATTCCCTGACTCAAATGATAATGAAAATATGACATACCAAAGCCTTTAGGATACAGAAAAAGCAGCGCTCAAAGGGCAATTTGTAGCAATAAACTCATATGTGGGGTACCAGCCCCCACAATCAAATGGGTCCAAGGGGTGGTTGTGTAATTCAGAGATCAAATTAAAGAGACATCAGACAAGATAAAGTATGCAAGTGCTTACCTCTGGGATCGCCATGACTTCAGGAGCCAGGTCTATGCAGAGAGAGAATATATTTCCAACTAAGGCTTTTATACACACTACATCACATCTCAGAAGTTTTAAATTCCAAGTCTAAAATCTCATTTTTGAATTATCAAAATCAAATAGAGATGAGATTTCAGGCATATTCAGGAGCCCTAGTTGCACAGTAGATTAAGCATTGGACTACTAACTGAGATGTCAGCAGTTTAACCCACCAGCTACTGCACGGGAAAAAGATAAAGTAGTCTACTTCCATAAATATTTACAATCTTTGATACCCTATAGAAAGCAGTTCTACTCTGTCCTATGGATCACTATGGGTTGGAATAAACATGGTGAGAGTGGGTATGGTTTTTTTGGCTTGGGTAGGCAGGTCCCCCCCCCCAGGGGGGAGGGATCATGTTTATCTGTGAACCTCCCAAAAGTTATCTTTTTTCCAAAATACAATGGTGAAACAGGTACAAAGTAAACATTTCTATTACAAATGGTAGAAATTGGAGAAAAAGAAGGGATAATGGTTCCCAAACAAAGCTAAAACTCACTAGACATCCTGTCACACCAAGGTGAAACACTCAGGGTGTGCAACAGAACAGCCAGGGGAGCAGAGCAACTACCATATATACTCAAGTATAAGCCGACCCAAATATCAGCCAAGGCACCTAATCTTACCATGAAAACTGCATAAAAATGTGCTGAAAAACTCCGCTTATACACAAGTATATATGGTAGGTCCCCAGGGAGTAGCAAAAATAGACTGGGGCCAGGGCATGGCACCCCATCAGACTCAACCAGAAAACACTCCTAAAGGTCAATAAATAGACCTTGAACTATTTATAGGCTTTTCTTATTTTTCTGTCATTGGTTTTTGTTGTTGTTTTGTTTTCTTTTGTTGCTTTGTTTTGCTCTTGTTTTTTGTGCATGTTATCTCTGCAGATCTATGCAGATAAGCAGGATAAACAATATAGAGGAGAAAA